GGGGCCGGCGGCACACTTGAAGGCAGGAGGTGCACCAGGGTTTGGTGTTGCCAGGCTGCTGAAGAACCCAATGTGCACTTGGGTCTCGCAGGGATTCGGGTTTCTGCTTGCCCCCTTTGGTGGCTTGGTCACGCTGACCTGCCAAAGCGGCCCTGGCATCGGGCGCGGGGGCCTTCAGCTGCTGGTGGCTTCGGCAGGAGCTGGAGGTGCTTGTCCCCAGGTGAGACCCAGCCCCTTACTGTGTGGCCAGAAGAAAAGCCCGACCATGCCACCATTGTCTCTCCCGATGGTGAACCGCGTCAGCCAACACCCAGTAAATAATGTACCAAATCATCATGGTTGTCTTCTCGAAGTACAGATATCTTTTTTAAGAAAGGAAGATCTGTACACAGCAATATGTATTGTACCAATGATCATAAATTACAGAGAAGATACTCTCCTGCTAAAATACAAGTGCTGTTTTCCCTCTTTCCCAGACATTCAAGGAAAAGAAGTTCACTGTGCAAGGTTTTTTTTTTGGGTTTTTTTTTTTTTTTTTTGTCGTGTATAATAATGTGAAACCAATGTTCCCATTTGATACAGCTTTTAGATCTCCGAAAGGGCACTTACTTTAAAGTGTTTCTTACAAATGATGAAGAGAAAAAAAAAGCCCCCTTTGTTTCTTAATAAATACTTTATGGTGTGACTTTGTTTGCTTTGTTACAGTTTTTTTTCTTAGTTAATTCTTTACTTTCCTCTGCCTAGAAAAGCACATCTGATCAGCCCAGTTCTATAGACCCTGGCAAAAGGGAAAGTTAGGATTTTTGGCTGTGTTTTCAAAGCAAAAACAGTAAAAACAACAACTTGCATGGCTGAATGCTAGGCCCTGGAGGGGCAGGTCTGGGGGGGGTTTTTTGGGGGGGAAGGGGAGCAGGGAGAGGGCATCAGAGCATTGGGTGAGCCGGGGACCCCTCGCGTCCCCACAGCCAGAGGGACGGTGGGGGAGCAGCATGGGCAGAGCCCGGGGCCCCATCAGGCTCCCCCTTTCCAAACCACGCCAACTACCCTACAGCAAGTGGCATTTTCAGAGGATTTTGGGTTCAGTTGGGTTCACGGTTACTGGCTAAGCATTTCCAGCACATAACTCCCAGCAAGTGGCCGTGCTGTTCTCTCCTCCGGCGCGGGACCCTGCTCACTTGAGCTAACTTTGTGAGAAAAAAAAAACCCCAAACCCACACTGTGCCAGAGGCATAACTCAGTCCGGGACAAGGCTGCTTCGCTTTCCCGGTGTTTGCTTCCTCCTGCTGCTGCCAGCGCTGCCCTGCGGAAAGGGCTCAGATAGGAGATGGGGCCTTGTCAGGTCTGCATGTTCATGGCTCAAATACAAGGGCCAGAACAATCTGGGAAAAATGTAGCCTTGGTCAGTCTGGACGTAGCGTGTCCCAAAATGCCACAGGGTGGCAAAGGAGCAGGGCTGGAAGCAGAAAGCTGGCAGGGAAGGATGGGGTCAGCCACGGCTCAGAGCCGATGTGCTGAAGTGAGGAGCCCTTCGCAGCGGGAGAAGCCGCTAGTTTGTGTCAATGTGGGGCCGCTGCTGAATGAGGCGGGTGTCCTGGTGACGGAGGATGCAGAGAAGGCAGAACTACTGAATGCCTTCTTTACTTCAGTCTTCAGTGCCAAGGCAGGCCCTCAGGAATCCCAGGCCACGGAGGTAAGAGAAGAAGCGCTCGG